TGAAGCGGTCACTTTCGCGTCGGATCTTCCGAAATACTTTCTGACTTAGCCATACTTATAAAAAAAACGTTTAGTTCAGGTTTCTAACAACAGAAAAGGCGAAACGACTTTTCTTCAGGAATATTTCATACCAGTTTGTTGTGTCAACCATGTGAGATTATATTCTTGAATTGAACGACCATCAATTCGAATTGTACCGGATGTTGGTTCATAGAAACGTAATAGACGTTATTCATTAGGAACATACAAATAACCAAGACTTGAGGGAAGTTCAGTCAAAAATGAATATCGGAAAGTAGATCATCAAATCATTCAATGTTGCTTTAAAAAAATATCGCTTTTTCATCATTATTGAAGGATTATACTTCCATTGTACACTGACAAAACCAAACACTTAAATAATTCAGAACAATTTTTAACAAGATCGTCAGTAGATTCGTTGTTTAATGTAAAAATTTCAAAATAGATGATAAGAGATTCTTATCATCCATTATGAGATTTTTTGACTCTTTAGAGTAAGAACATCTGTTTTACTTTAAAAATAGTCATATTTCGGTGAGACATCTCGTCTTTATTCAAGGACATAACGCGTTTAACACCTACAACTTTTCTCACCTATCGTAGGCGCGAACACCAATCGTAGGGAGGCGTGAGCATTGTCTTGAATTTAGAAATATTTTTAGATTTCTGGGGATCTTTGGAGGACCTCAAGAAAACTGTTTAGATTTACACCATAGAAAGCTGCGCGTTTCGTAACAAACTATTATATATGAAGAAGCTACAAACCGTTCATTCCATTGTGGTTGCGAACGCCACCATAAGTAAAGCTGCATTTTTTCATCCAAAAATGACGTTGAAAATCTTAAATTGCCAGGATTGAATTCGTCATTCATATTTAAAAAATAACGATAGATCAATGAAAAAAAATTTATTTTTAGAAAATACAGGTAAAATAAAGAAATAAAGCCGTTATGTTTGCTGTCTCAAATTAATTAACAAGCAGGGTAATCTCGATATGTCAAAGATTGATGCCCTCATCCTCATCTCAAATTACGAGCTCATTATTCCTCTTCAATTGTGCGAATAAGTGATTTTATGTCATGATGAATTACCTAGATCGACTAAAACTAATCTAACTCGAACAGAGAAGATTGAATAGAATAAGCGCAGCGAATTCTGAGAATAAAACCGTGGTCGCAGAAGAAGAATACCAACCATTTATTTCGTTCTTATTTCTTTAAAGAAGCTAGTAATCAGATGAACTTAAGTGCACTTTTGTATTTATCATTGAAAAATTCTGGTATTCCTTGCGATGATTCTGATCAATTTTTTAAGATGAAACTATTTCTATTGAACAATGAAGATATTTCACGACTATAATGAATGTGAATATAGTGGAAACATCTCCGTTGAATACAATGAAGACATTTCTCTTAAATAGAATGAAAGTGGAAAGAGAGAGAAATAAAAGGTCTGAATACATTATACTCTAACACTACCCCGTTGCTTTTACACAATCAAATAAGGGGAAACAGTCACAATAAGTGCAGCGAATTCCGAATATTAAACCGTGATCGCAGAAGAAGAATACGAACCATTTATTTCATCTTTATTTCTTTATATTCTGGAATTATGCCTACAGTTCAGGTGTTTTCAGTCAGTACGTTATCTGAATAATAACAAATTCTGTGGTCTTTTTGGCAACTTGTTGGAAAAGATAAAAGTTAGATTCTTTACACGATAAAATTAATATAATCAGCACTACAGAATAAATCCAAGACTCAAAATCATAAACTTCTTGTGATAGAATAAACCAGCTTAACGCAATATTACATCAGCTGTATACAGCTCATGTCGATCAATACTTCTATTGATATCATGAACTAGGTCAATCAACTGGTTCGTTTTCGAGCCTCAATCTCCAAAGCGAGATTGTAAATAAAACTATACACTTTAATAAACTATACCTTCAAACACTTTAGACAGAAATCAATGTGAAGTAACAGGTTTGTCAAAAGACGATGGCAAACCAAAGCCGTATGGTGCGCTTAATTTTCAATCAAAATGCCGCAGAATTTCAGCATAAGCTTGTTTTGAGGCGTCTCACAAAACTGCACAGTCAGAAATGCGAAAAATAAATCGAACCTTGAAAGATTTTTCAGATAAAGATAATCTGTCGGTCATGCTCTACTATCCTGTTAGATCAGAATCCCTCTATCGTGGATTTTAAGAAGAGGCTTCAAAGGCCGGATTTCCATAGATTCATAACAGAAACTTCCAGCAGCCCAAATGAGTATCAGATTCGGAATTAGCATCAAAAATTACTTCTAATCAAACACGTATTGGGATAAAGGCGCCGGATCACTTGGAGGCCTTCCGTCGTAAGATATGAAGACTTGGCGGGGAGAGGGTCCTTCCATTCAGATTTTTGCTCAGTTTGTACAGCACACTTTGAAACTCAGAAATCGACATATTTTTCATTTCGCAGAGCTCAAGTGTTTTCAGAAAAATATTTTGAAGTTAGTGATTTTTGCCTGTTTTTTAAAATTTGTATAGAATTTTTGTTTTTTGAGATAGAACGCTAATTCTTGCATCAATCGCTCGGACACATCGAAATGTACTCAGAAAACCCATGTCAACATTTTTCCGCAGAAAAGGGCGTTTTTTGGCACTTTTGCGGCCACACAACGCATTATTTGTATATACGTTTTCTTGTACTGTATTTTTTCACGCAAAAACAAACAGAAAAACGATAGTTTTTGTCTTTTATCGCAGAATCTTTTTTTGCATAATGCTGCATATGATTTTTCAATGCAATTTTTCGGTTTAACATCGCAACAAAACGATGACTCATTGCGATGACTCATCAGTGATTCATCTTATTTAGTGTATAATTTGAAAAAGTGAAATTTGTGCAGTCTTATATCTGTATCAAGGGTCCGTTTTCAACTATGAAGTCACTTAGAAAATTTTTTCTAAATGACTCCTCTTAGCTTCGAGAAGAGCAGTGACGGTGATGGTGAGGGTTGCCTGTGAGCTGGTTCGATGGACCTGCCCGTGATACCGTGTGCAGAACATCGCATGTATCTTTAAGGTAGCTACACGAGCAGTATTTTTTGCATGAAAAACGACGATCATTTCTTGCACTTTATCGCAAATTTTTTTGTACTTGCAGAAAAACGCAGAAGAAATTCATGCGTGTGATGTTACGTGAGGCACGGAAATTCTACTACAGGTTTTTACAAAACAACGGACGCGAATTTTTGCAGTTTTCTGCAGTAGAAATCTTTCAAAATTTCGATATGTGAAAAGTTTCATTGTTTTCTGATCCAATTTGACCTGGCCGATTCAGTTTTGCAGCAAAACATCTTACGTACTAACAAAGTAAACGCTTTAGCTACCACGCATCTCTTGTTCACTGCGACTGTACGTTGAAAGAGAAATTTACCTCTTTATGTGGTGGAGCATCTTTCTCTTCATAGCCATTATTTTGTGTATGCTCAGTTTTCTTGATCCGATAATGCTTTAAAGAATATCACGTAAATAGTTTGAAATGTCTGCCCACAAAATATCCCAGAAAATCAACCAAAACATATTTTAATATCGACAGATATATTAAGGAGGAGTCCCCCACTCGGTTTTTTCTATGAGTTTATAGAGGACACTTTGAAGTATATATTTGAATACTTTTTTCGGGTACCGGACCTGCAGTTTTGAGAAATTAATTTTTTAAGTTTAGTCTTGGTTTTTTGCTCCATCTTTAAAAGTTTAATAAAATTTTCAGATTTCTACATATAACCTCAGTTTTGATGTCAACCGATAGAGAACATCAGAATGTATCTACAAAAAATTCGGTCAAGCTTTAGCTGAGTTATTCCGCTTTGACCTGCCCGATGGCATTTTGGAGCAAGAAGTATTTTTAAAAACACCTTGTATCAAATTTCGTTCGAAGGAAGGATTTTTATGGAAAAGTGTGGGTACGAAAGTTGTTCAAAATCAGATTCCCTGGAATATGACCGAAGAATTTTTCAAAATTCATTAAACTCGATTTTTAAATTGAAAAATACGGTTTTTTAAAATTTTAAAATTTAGTAAAATTTACTTTAAAACTCCAGTTTAACGAATTTTGAATAATCTCTCGTTCATACTCCAGGGAATCTGATTTTGAACAACTCTCGCACCCACACTTTTCCTTGAAAATGCTTCCTTCGAGCTAAATTTGGTTCAAGGTGTTGTAAAAATATTTTCACTTAGCTAAATTCTTTAGTTTTGAATTTTCTTGTTAAATTTTCCCGTTTTGTAGAGGACACTTCGAAGTATATGTTCTGAAGATTTTTCGGCTTACTGACATTGACATTGTTTCGCTAAGAAAAAAATTAATTACTTACAAAAATGCTGTTAAATTTTTGAGCACGGTGCTGTTATAAAAAAATTCTAATGGATGAATTGGATTCTAAAACTCCTAAGCTAGCCAGTCTTGTAGCCCGTGAAATTCGCTATCAGGTGAGGTATAGCTTAAATTCTTTTATTGAGTTCTTATATTGCAAATGAGACTGTAAGCTAGTAGAGTCGGCTAAATTAACGTTAATTAGTGCTAATCAGTCAATAACAGGAACTAAAGAACAAAAATTTTTACATATTTTCTCTCTTATTAAATGTTCTCCACACATTTCTCTATTGATCTAGACAAGAACCAAGTTTTTATGATGAATGAAGAATGGACAGGAATTCTTTTAATAATAGTCCTTTGTTCGAAAACTTTACAATATATTTTAAAGTAATTAATTTTTTTCTCAGCCAAATAATGTCAGTGAGCCGAGAAAACTTTAGGACATATACTTCGAAGTATCCTCTACAAACTGGAAACGTTAGACGAAAATCTAAATGGGGGACCCCTTAACAAAGTTTGTTCACAGAAAAAACTGGAGCAATTTTCCCAAAACGTTTATCGTTTCTACGATGTAAACTACCTCAAATTGTCCTACTCCGCAATTTTAGTCTTAACTATTTCTCCAGGCTGAAAAGAGAGATTTCTCAGGTACTGGAACGTTTTTCAAGAAAATATGGTACCATTTTCCTTGTGCATTCACCTTTATATCTTGCACTTCGAATAATGTGAACGGTAACAGGAGTATCTCAGCTTCATAGTCAAATTGCGACAAACCTTTGATCTTATCGGAAATTTGTGAAAGAGCAATTGCCGTAGGACATATTTCGGGAAAATCAAATACGACCAAAACTTTGTGCTTAATTGGCGAAGCATACCTAGTAGCAAAATCTTCAGCAATCTCTTGCCTACTTGACATCGATTGTACGGTACAAGTTTCGATTATACTTCCTGGATTTTGCAGAGCCCACCGATGGGCAGCGATATCGTCGTCGGTCATAGCAGCACCTCGATAGGATCGACCCTTAAAGGCTCTTTCTCGATATTCGTCCAGATGTAGATACATCATCGAAGTGAAGGCGGCATTATCGTCTCGCAAAGCGCCGTAAAATGGTGTTTCCATTGTGTACATAGTGATCAGATGATCTACATTTGCACGGTTTTTCGAAGGATTCCAAAATTTAGTGAAAAGTTCTTTAACACGTTTTGCTTCCGGATGATTTATGGACCACACACATTTCTCTATGATCAGTTTAAGCTTTTCACTGCTGTCCATTTCCGTTTTTCCTTGGACTACAAATTTTAATTTTGATTTATAGGCAGCAGCGACAAGCTGTGCATCTGTCGTACCCTCAATGCTACTGTAACCTCTTACGAAATTATTCGGTATCTTGCCAGAATCGCCTTCTCCAGATCTTGCCGAGACCAATGTAAACAAGCCACCGACATCCTGATCCATGAAACGGAATTGATCGCTATCTGGTCTAAGAAATAATCGTCGAATTTCTTCTGTCTGAGCTTCCCTGTAGGCCGATAAACCATGACGATTGAGCACAGTTCGATCACATCCGGACTGAAGAAGTAGACGAACCATTTCAACACGATTGAAATAACAAGCTGCATGAAGTGCCGTGCTACCATTTGGTTCGAGACGACTTATTTCATCCGTTGACATAGTTGGCAGCATTTGACGAACTGTTTGAATGTCACCATTTCGACAGGCCCAATAGAATGCACTGGCATTGCCTATCATCGGCACAGGGGTTTTTGACACACCGCAACCCATATCAGTTCTAGGAAATGAAGAATGAAGACTTTGAATTCAGATCTAATTCAGATCTTCCTCTGCACAAAAAACAACAACTGCTCTCACTTGTATTTTGTTAACTGCCCTCTGGCTGATATGAAAATAGCCTGCTTAGAGTTTGAAGAATCAGAATAAGAACCATACCTTATCTTCAAACTTAATTTATATGTTTCTTTGGAGATACAGTATGATATACTTACAGCAACGTTCTTTGGTTTGAAGAAAGGGGCATGTAGTACACAGTTTTTTACTCTATGGTAAACCGATACTCACGTAAACGTTAACTGTTGCAAGATTATTTAATAATTTTTAACAAAAGAGTAACTCTTTTATTTTTACTGCTCGCAGAAGAAAATCGAGGATTGTAAAAAAAGGATGAAGAGAGATAAGAACTGCAAATATTTGTGATTATGTTTCGTTTTTTGAAAAAATCCATTGTATATTGGCATAAAGGTTGACAGAAGAGATAA